ATTGTTTCTTTTTACAATAAAAATTTAAACGTTTGTTTGTTGTTACTTGTTTTCATTTTTTTAATTTTTTTGTTCATTTTTTTTTTTAGTTGCTTGTTTTTATTTAAATTTTTTTTTTTTTTTTCTTCAAGAAGAAGTTAGTACTAAAATGACTGGTAAAGTAGTTTTATTAGTATTGCGCAATTTGTCAGGGTTAGGGGTTAAGGTTTTTTTTAGTTTTGTCTTTAGTCTTTTAAAAATACTTTAAACAGGTTTTTTTTTTAATTTTTTATAAGCGATTGGAATGAGTTGAACTGCTTTTTAATTACTTCAATTTACTTTATTGTTATTTTTTGTTATTAGAAGACTATTATTTAAGATAAAAACATTTACTTTTATTTAAAGTAAATGTTTTTAGACAGTTAAACTGAATATTTTTAACTGAATATTTTAACTTGTTAACTGTTAACTGAATATTTTGTTATTAGAAGACTATTATTTAAGATAAAAACATTTACTTTTATTTAAAGTAAATGTTTTTAGACAGTTAAACTGATTCTGATTCGAGTAAGCTTTTATTTAGTTTTATTTCAAGTTGGAATTTTATTTATGAAAAGTTAAATAAAAAGATGTTAATTAGTGTAAATAATTGAATTATATATAAACTATTATTGTGTTGCGTCAGAAGGAACATTGTGGGTGCGTCATACATTATATTGTATATAACGTTTATAATGTTTATTTTATACCCTTGAGGGTATTTGCAAATTTATATACATTGAGTAAAGAAAATCACGAAGAAAGCGAGAAAAAATAAATATAGACTTATTATTACAAGCTATTTCGCATTGCTTATTAGCCATGCTCTTTTCTTTAGGCGCTTAGTCTTTTCTGTCTAGCAATATAAAATCTTCTTCTTTTAACTTGTTGTATAATCACTATTATATATTATATGATTGTAACCTAACAAAATAATTAAATTACAGTTATAAAAGACCTGGTCCTATTTTTTATATTTTTATAACTATTATAATATGCTTATAAACTTTTATATTCCAATCTACTTATACTATACTTTTATATTATAAAACTATATTTAAAGTTACAAACTTATATAAAACGTCCCAGTGGGAAAAAAGACGTCGAAAAGACGTCTTTAAAAGTCTTATTTAAGATGTCTTTAAGACGTCTTTTTTTAAGACATCTTTTTTTGACATCGAAAAGACGTCTTTTTTTTTATCTTAATCTTGTCATGAAAAGACATGAAAAATTTCTCTTTAAGACGCCTTTTTTTAGTCAAATATGCAAATCTAAACGACATCTTTTTCGACATCAAAAAGACGTCTTTTTTTTATCTTAATCTTGTCATGAAAAGACCTAAAAAATACGCCTTTAAGACGCCTTTTTTTAGCCGAATATGCAAATCTAAAAAAGTGTTTTTTCTCGGGGTCGGAACGATTTATTAGTATACTATAGTATCGTATACACTATAGTATTCCTACTTTTCATATATAAAAAGCTATTTTTTTCAAATGAAAATGATAATAGCACTTCATACAAAGTATGACAAAAAGCTTTTTCCGATGCCGAGAAAAAAACTCTTTTAGATGTCAATATAAAAGAGGAAGCATTTTCTACATCTTTTATATTGTTCAACAGAATATTTTTTCATCTTTCTCTTTCTTTTCTGTTTCTTGAGCGAGCTCTGTTTCTTGGCGTTGTTGAATAAAATTAACAATTTCACGTCAAGAAATCCTTTCATACGAGCAGGTTACGACTTCTAGCTGGTTACCACTTCTAAAAAACGAGTGAACATAAAAAATGTAATACAAAAAAAGCAAACAAAACTTGATTAGCTGAGTGGAGCACATTATACTTACCGACTATTAATTCAAAAAGGGCTAATCCTTTTAATCCACTCATCTTTCCAGCGCGGTCCCTTCTTTTTGAACCCACTAGATTAGATTAGGACAGGAGTCAAACGGTAAACAGTCTAAAAATAAATAAAAATGAGTGTGCTAAATAAATTTACAAGTATCAAAATGACTGTACAACGATGTATTTTATTATGTAGTACTTAAATCAAGCTAAACATTGGCACCTCTTAGATTTGCTATGAAAACCAAGTTATTGAAAACAGATATTGATATTTTTCTGTCTTCTATAACATGATTTCGCTGAAATTAAGTGTTATAGACTCAAAACAATTTAAAAATCCGTTATTGACTAAAGACTATCAAAACAAAAAGATAGTTCAGCTAACACACATTGAGAGTTGCTATTCATTTAAACTAGAAAAAAGTATTAGTCAAAGCTCTATTTTAGCCTGAAACATAAGGACCCAGTAAGAAAAAGACGTCAAGCCGTAGTTGTAATTTGGTTGTATTTTGGTCGTGACGCAAGTTAACTAAATTCCAACGATGTTCCAACGTCGGCATAACGGTGTTGTTCTAACGTTTGCTATCAAACGTTGGAACAACGTCGGAAAAACGTTATCAACTAAGTCTTGAATGTTAACATTAAAATGACGTTGGAACAACGTTGGTTGTTTAACGTAAAACCAACGTTGGTCTGATTAACGTTGGAATGACTTTGGAGCAACGTTGCCTTTTTTTACGTTTTTACTTTTGACATCATAGCAACGTCAGCATTCTAAGGTAAACACAACTTTGATTTTTTTCAAACTTGCGCATTTTTAAAATGGTTGAAAAACCGTTATCGAAAAAGATGTTATTTTTAAACTAATTTTAATTTAATGGTTTTTAGGCATTATATTCTGTGATACTAATAATTAATACATTATTTCTTTATATTCTACATTCGAATTAGAAATTAAACTTTTATCATATTAATGATAAATAAATGTTACAAAAACTTTATTTGATTTTCAAAAAATGTTAATATTTTTGTTATGTTTTTGCATACTTTGTATATTTAACATTACTTATATAGTAAAAATTTCTAACATATATAATATTTGCACATAATATTTTATTTACAAATAGATAATGCAATGATAGGTTTTTTAAATGATCGAGGGTAAGAAAATTATAATTGCACGCCCTCAGGAAGCATTGGAGGCCAATGTTGCGGCGATCTTAAAACAATCGTTCCAACACTGGAATTTAAAGGAACAAAGAGAAGTATTTAGAACGCTGATGGAGGAAAACATTCCAAGAACGATGCAAGAAAATACTTAAATGTGCTTTGTTTTTTTTTTAATACTTTTACCTATAGTTTATGTAATTATTGGGTGTTTAAAAGAATAAATATAAATATAAATACCCGTTATTAAACTATTTAGCAGTTTAATTAAATCCCAATAAAAATACAGTCTTTTTTTTTAAGACATTCAATTCAGTTGTCTAAGACAGTTGTAAGTTGTATTAAAACAAGGTTTTTACTTAATATACATAATATATTAAGTATAAATTTAAGACAATTAAGTTAAATTAAGACAACGTCTTAATAATATATATTTTATTATCATAATATATATATTTTTTATTTGAATGGAAAGTTTTTTAGTTTGTTGTGGAACTAGACTAAAAATTACCTAATAAGCTTCTTATAACTTGTGTAATGTGTTTCTTTTACAAATTTGTATACTGTTATAATCATATCATGCTATTCCTACAATATTATAGGGTAATTCCATGTCAATTGAGCCAGAAAATTTCAAAAATGTCACCATACATCTCAGATTTTGCTGATTTTTATACAGTTGAGAGTACTTAGTAAAACAAAAAATCCTTGAAAATTTTAGCTTCTAGCTCCAAGAGGATCATGAAATATGATCATTTTACTTTAAACTGATCTTGGCCAGGCCCCTCTTGTCCCCTCAGAAGTGTGACCTTTGTTTAAAGGTTCCAAGTCACATAGCTTTAAAAATATTTGATCTTTTAACTTAAAAATTTGTACCTGGCTATTTTCAGGGTCGAAGAATCCAATGAAATAATCAGAAATGTAAAAAAAATTTTTTAAGTACTTGTAATTATCAATTTAAATAAATTTAGGCAATTTTTTATATACCTGGTTTTGATGTTCAAGAAAGCCATGTGGCCTTGATGATATAACAAAAAAAATTGTACACATTATTCTATGTTTAATGATCTTTCAGAAAACATAAAAATTTTGATCTGCAAGTATATGGATTTCCATATATGGTTAACGGGGCACAGGCCCCACTATTTTGTAGCAGAATCTTGCCATACATTTTTCACTACCTTTCAGACTAGCTGGAACGATGAAAATTTTGGTATTTATGTAGTGTCAATAAATGTGCATTTTAAAATTGAAAAAGGGCCCAAGACACTAGGGGAGGGGGGTAGGGGGAATGTGCCCCACTTTTTTGACCGGAATCTTAAGATGGATTTTTCAGTATCTTCCAGACAAGCGTGAGCCACGGTGATTTAAGCCTGATATTTTATTGTGAGCATGCGCACATTTGTTTTTTTTTTTTAATGACGGAAAAAAATGGCGAAGTAGTTTTTATCTAAATAACTAAAATTCGTTGATTTAGTATTTTATTAAACAATTACTTATTCCTCGTGTAAAAACCTGAACTATATATTTTTAAAGTCTTACATTCTAGAAGGTTTTAAGTAAATCATAAAAATAAATAAGAATCTTTGTAAACAAAGAAAATTTTAATGAGCAAAATGTAAGGTTTTTTAGATAAAAAAAATAAAATATTTGTTAGCTAACTAGAGGGATATCTTTTGTTTGAAAATTTTTTGACTAAAAAGTTCAATTGTTTTAAATTCTATAAATCATCCCTAAAAATTCTATGCCTTTCGTTTTAACCTGTCATTTTTTTAAAAAAAGTTAACTGCATTTAACGGCAGGCTGGTAACATTTTTTGCGTAGTTTTTTTAGCTTTTTAATGGAAGAATTTTCTACTCTGAAAGCCTTACATAAAGTTCAAGTTAACCTTAAACTTACAATGCGTGCACGTTTTAAATCAAGAATATTATAATGTGTTTACCAGAACACTCTGATACTCAGGACAAAGTTGAATGTGTGTATATGTATGTGTATATATATATATATTATATACACACATAAAAATCAAAAAAAAATTTTCTTTTTAATTTCTGGCTTCATTGCTTTAGCTTTTGGATGGTTTCTTACATAATGTTCTTTCACCATGCTTTTCAAGCGGCTACAACCTTTCATATGACAAAACAAACGATTAAGATTGTTAAATTCAGCATGCAAACTTTCTCCGCCTTGTTCTCCATAAACTCCAATGCCTAATCCCCATTTTTGAATAAATTGAAGAACATGTGTTTCAAGCAAATGCATCTTTGGAGTTACAGATGCATTTGGCCAAGTTGATCTATAAAATTCCATAAGATTACAGATTGCTGATTTTAAAATTAAATAGTTTACATGTTTAAAAAAAAAGCCTAATTGAATTTCTTTAAATAAATTCCTCAAATTCTAACTAAAAAAAGCAACCAATTAATGTTTTTCAAAATAACTATTATGGCATTAAAGAATATGCTAACTTCAACTACAGTTTGCGTAAAACGATTTTAAATACCTACCAAGTTCCTGAACATCATTTTCTTGAAATGATTGTGAGCTGTTCATCAAGTTATGACATTTGGAATAATATTGAAACAACTGTTTAAATTTTTGGCTCACATTAACTGAGAGTAAATGAACGTCTGTATCAATAAAACCAAGATTTGAAATCAGTTTTGGAATAGAGTTGCACAAATCTAGCAAAGGTTGAGGCTAAATTAAATATAAGTAAAATTAAATAATTTTGAAATATTTTTATTAACAAAACGCAGGGGTGGCCGATGTGTTCAAAGCAGTCTGAACAAAAAATTAAAAAAAAAAAAAGATTTTATCTGATCGATATAACCAACCCACCAGGTTAGGATATTTAATATAAAACATCTGTAAAAAAACCTTAAGCATTGTGTGAACATGGTTTCCAACAAAGCATTTCCCATGATAAGCCTGTCTTTGTACCTGATTAGCCTTTAAAATTTCATCAAGTTGCTGAATGCAGGGACCTGAAATTTTATCAAGAATGTTTGCTTCATTTAATGAATTTAGTTCTTTCATCTAGAAAAATATTTTTCTTGTTAAATATATGATACAGAAACTGTAGGTAATTGTATTGTAAATTTTTGAAATTGATATATTTTTGGCTTTCTAAAATTATGTTAAATATAATTCTAACTAAAGTCTAAATTAAATTCATATTTTTTTTGTAAATAATAAATACCTTATCAGTTTTTTTTAAATCATAGTAAAGTATTCTTGGTGCATATACTTTCCTTATTTCTTCTGTTCTGTCTGGTTCACATAAAACTTTTAATGAAATTGTGTCTTGTAAAAGTGTAATTTTATTATCACAGTCCTCAATAACACTTTTTATAAGATTTGATTGAATATGCATATTAATGTATTTGTCAAAATCATCTTTACCAATTGTATTATTTTTTAGTGCAAGCTCTCCAGCAAGTTTGATATCTAACAAGTGACATTCATCTTCAAACATGTTAAAAAACTTCAAATAGGTTCCTAAAGATATATGTAAAGCAGGTACTGCTACCTAAAAATAAAATTAAACACTATTAAAAACACTTAAAGCCATACAAATCCTCAAAATAAAACTAAAATACAGTGCTAAAAATAAATTACCTGGTCTAGAGGAATGTGAAACAAAGTTTCACTAATCACATTATTGAAAAACTTAGCCTTTTTCAAATTTCCTCCACTACTTTGGAATCGATTAAAATCAATGTTTAAAGATTTTAGAGATCGTTGTGAAACACCATTCTCTCTACTAATTGGAGCCAACTGGATACTTTCTTTGGTTATATCACAAAAAAGACAGCAATGTCGACCTATAATACCATAAGTAACAGTATTGAATGGAGTTAAACAATTATATCTTTAAAACTTTAATTTTTCAATCTTACAAAAGTTTTTACTTATGATAACTAAAAAAAAATTATCATCAAATAACATAAAATTTCTTTAAGTACAGCAAACCTACCACTCGCTCCTGTGATTCCATATACACTGCAAAGGAAATCATAATCTCCAAATATAAAAACACGAACATAATGATTTCTAAAAACAATTAAAATATATTAAATTAACACAAAATATTTGAATTTTATTTAAATTATCAATGTTTATTTCTTTAGAAATAGTAACTTACTGCCATATCATTTTTTGTATCTCATCAACTTGTAATGTATATCGAGATAACCCTACTTTAAGATTAGTTCGGTAGTCTCTTGCTTCAAATGTACTGAATACAATACTATTTGATTTTGAGTTTGGTTGGTCTTGGTTTACAATTTGGTAACTCATTTTAAATGAACCACCTCCATGGTCTCCTCCAATTTTTATGTGTATTTCATCATTTTTTATTCCATCATGTTTTATTAACTTAAAACTAATAAATTTAAATAAAATAAAAATATAAAATAAAAAAATACAGCTTAAATAGTTTTTTACAATAGTTTATATTTAGATTTTTAAGTAACAAATTTGTACAAATATCCATACCTTTCAAGAATATCTAACAGGTTTTTAATATTAGTGGGTAGATTGTCTATGTATGCCCAGGGAGCATGTTTGATTTCAAAAACTGACTTATTATTTTCATTTTGAAATGTAAAATCTCCATTTAATACAACAAGATCATTTCCTGCCCAGGTATTTGCAACTACTCTTTGTTTAAAGTTTGAAGCAGTCTTAATATTTCTTGAGTTTAACCATCTACAATATTTAGTAAATAACACTTATTCATTTTTTTCACTAAATTATTTTTCATACTGCTTACTTATATATGCATTATTATGGAAATTAATAAAAGCATGCATTTTTAAATATACACCTACATTCACTTAAATAATAAATCAATTAACATTAATCTCTAAATAATTAACACTAATAAATAAACTAACCAATAAATATTTAAAAAAATAATTTTACCTAGTCATAGTTTTTAATTTATTCCACGGTACCCCTACATTTGCTTTAAAAGCAACCAATTCTTCAGCAGAAAACTCAACAACTCCAATCTTAGCACTTTCTAAAACTTTATTTTTTTGATTGTGATCAAATGATTTAAGCATAACTGATGTTTGCACTACTAGTGAATCTTTTGAATTTCCAACTTGATGATTAGCTTGGTCCACTAGGTGTTTGTGTCTTTTTCTCAAGGTATGACCACTGCAAGATGCACTTTCCTTGTAGGCTTTGGGCATAACAGTTAAGCAAAGGGGCTTTAAAATAAAAATATATATCAATACATAAACCTAATATCAGCAATCTTTATCATTATGAATATTCAAAATTCCAGACAAGAAATTTTATAGTTTAAGTTTTATATTAATGTACTTTACAAATATTATTACTCTTACTCTTGGGCCACCAGATAAAAATTCAATTGTAGTTGTTTTTGAATTCTCCATTTTTTGTTTAATTACATGCAACACTGCATCTTCAATATTACGTGGAATATGACTTGACTTATCAACTTTAAATAAATCATCAACTATTGTGCTGGAATTATTTAATAAATGATCTTTTTTGCACTCATGATTTTCATACTTGTCTTTAATAAAGTTTTTTTCGCAAATCTTGCATGCAATATACAAATGTTCAATCATCTCCAATACATGAACAGAACTACAAAGGCTATTAATCATAATGCAGGTTAAACAAACAGGACATCTTGCTTCATTTTCTAGCTTACCTTTAATAATTGATATAATACATTGACTACAAAACGAGTGCTGACAATCTTTGATCATGACTGGTTGATGCATTATCCTCCCTCAAACATTACAAATACATAATGTTATATGTGGGTTTAGCTGAATATTGAATTCAGAAATTTCTTTTTTGTTTAAAGGTAAGGGCAAGGATTCAAGAAACAAGTTTATATTTAGTTGTGTCCATCTTTTAAAAACTCCTGGCCGTCCAACATTTGGAGATGGTTTTCCACCAACCTTACCATAAATACACATACACTCCTTTGTTGGACATTTTAACCAAATTTTTAGTTTAATCTTAGATAGTTTATTTCCTCGTGTTTCAATATTCTTCATAGTTGAATAACATTTTAGGCACATTTGTGGTGGATGAACCTCTACACAATCTTCTTTAGTATTTATTTTAAAAACATTAAATATTCTTTCAGTCCTACTGGCAGTTGTTAGAGAGTCTTTTCCTGTTAAATTTCCACAAATTCTGCAAACTCTTAATAACTTTTGTTGATGTTTTTCAGTCATCTTCTAAATAAAATTTTTGAAAAGTTTTTAGCTAAATAATGAAATAACATATTATAAAAAAAATGACAGGTTATAGAAGTCAATATTTTTTGAATATCAATGAATAATACTTTTATTAAAAACTAATCCACATGTCATAAAAATTTTGCTTCGTCCATAATTGAAATGTATATAAAGTGTTATTTTAAACAATATTACTCTTTTCTGTTTTAACTATTGTAGTAAATGTTCAAGCATAAATTTCATTTTTTGCACAAAACAGCTCAAGTATATAAAATACTATTACATTTGTCTAATTATTAAAAACCTCATAAAAATTGGATTTAAAATGGAAACAATGTTGTAAGGTATTTATTTGTTTTTAACACGATAAATACAAATTTTAATATTGAATATTTTTATCAGACGCATGCGTATAATAAAATCTCAAGCTTGCATAAGTACTGAATCACCGTGAGCTTTGAAACTTTCAGCATTTGTGTAGTCCTGATGAACATGCTTTAAAATAGTTTCAGGTCAGAGGACTAGAAGGTCCATGGGGCTGGGGCACCAGGGACCATGCCCCACTTATTTTCTCAAAAAAAAAAATTTTTTTTTTGTCTTAAATTTAAGATAACTTTGAAAATATTGTATTTAAATATTTTATTGCTTTATGCTTGTTCCGTTTTACTTCATTATTTACAAAATAAAATACAAAAAAAAGAAATTGTCAAGATAATGCTAAGATTAGCTTAGATGCATTGACGGTCAAAGTATACAAACGTCCATTTGTTGTTACAGGTGCATCAATTATACAAGTTATGTTGGTAATTGGAACCCAACACTCATCTACTCTAGATGGCCAGAAAAGTTTATTAAAAGGACCGTGCGGGTGCATAAATGTTACCATAACATCTTGCTCTATATTATCAACTTCATTGATCATACCAATCCAATCAAACGCATCATATTTACACATAATGAATTCACCAAATTTCAAGGCATCAATGTTAATTTGCTGATCATTTTGAAAACTTTGAATACCAGAAAAAGAAAAAATGCCTGTTATATGAACATCTTCACTTGTTCGTTTAAAGCTAATAGTATCTATAGATTCTGGTTTAAATTGATGATAGCTCCTAGTTCCAGGGATTGTTCTACTTAGCTCAAAACGTGTTTTCAAAGTGGTGCGCAATTCTGTCAGTCTTTCTTTTTCAATCTTGAAAAAAATAATCCCTTTAATATTGTTAGTACAGTAGTCAAACATTTTGTTACAATTCAATATCTGGTCATTTATGGGCCTTTGTAGACTTGCATTTGTAGTTAATCGTTTTACAATGCCACCAATACCATCACATGATGACTTACCATGACTTGTAGCAAAAAATGTCCACTCTGCATCAATGTCAAAATCATTTTTATGGAGACAGATATTGTAAAGGTTTTTGTGGTTTTTATACTGTGCAGCACAACCATCAGAAAAATAAAGAATTTTTGAAATTTTAGGATGATATTCTTTTAAATAGTTAACTATTTGTGTTTGAACTTCATACACAAAACCAGTGTCATGCTCATTATCTTCTGACATGAAACAAAACGATTTTTCTTCAAGTTGGTCATTTTCGTTTAATAAATAGAGGGCAACAGGGTGCAATGTGCATTGACTTTTGCACCAATGGTAACTTTGGATTTCATTATGAATCACAAAAGTGAAGTTTTCTGCAAAGTCAACTAAGACAATACAGCAGTTTTTTGCTAAATTTTCCTTTTGTTGCTTTAGGTATCTTGATTGACATTTTGCAATGTAGAAATGAGCTGTTAACTTGTTTATTGCCTCTGATAACATCAATTTGTATTCTACAATATTTGTTGTCTGATAGATCAATGTTGTTCTGTCTGTTTTCTGCCACTGATTGAATGACACCTCATCATCATTGTCATTATCAATTTGTTGTGCATCCAGAAACTTCTTTAAAGAAACCATACCTGGACAGTTCGGACATCGATGAACCATGCACTCGTTACTTGTCACATCACAAACAACTTTTGTCATCATATCTTTGTAAGTACATTTCATTTGTATAGCATTGGTCAAGAGTATTGCATTTTGATGGAGGGTACATACACAAACAGAATGAGTGCCTGATGCTCCAACAGTTATACACCATTTTGGTCTTAAACTGCAAAACTTATAAATCCAATAACTTCTTGAGGATATTTAGTTTTAAAAGAAACATAAAGTTCTTTAAGATTACATAAAATAAGACGCTTTTGCATGTGTTGTTTTCTACCAATACTTACGTAATCTTTTTTACCAGGCATTTGTCTAGTAAATTCTTCATCATGGTATATATTGTTGACTCTATTTAATGTTATTTCTGAAAATGTTTTTCCTTTCTTAGTGCCTGGAACTGAAAAAATCCCACTCTTTTTCTTTAGTTTGCGCGCTTCTTTAATTTGGTATATAGTGACGTTGAGATATCTTGCAGCAAAATTTCTTGACCAAGACTCGGGTGTAAATGTTAATAACTGAATTTTAGTTTTTTGGTCAGAAACAATTAACTTTTCTTTTATTTCTGCTGTTAGTTTGTCTAAATCATCACATTTACTTTTGTCAATAATTTTTGTATGAGGAATTTTATGCTTCAGTTCTTCTTCCCTAACATTATATACTTCTGAAATATGCTCTTCATACTTTGACATTATTTTTATAACTTTACTTTTAGCGAAAGATAGCCGTTGATGCTTTGGAATGCCATGAAGTTTTATGGGGGATACACCTATTGTTTCCAAACTAACATTTAATGCCTCTCGTGACTTTTCAGAAGTAGCACATGAAATAGATTCCTCAAATTCACAATTATCTTGTTCATGAAATTTACTGATTATAGCGTCAAAGCAGCTCCGACAAAGTTGATATCCAGGCACAACATTTGGAAAATTAATTCTCAATTGCTTTGCCATGTCTAATGTTATTACATGACTCCCTGAAAAGAAAAGAACAATTTTATTTTAGTAATTACCTATGAATTACCTAAAAATTATTTGTACTTATTTCCATATACATTGCATAACCAGATCAGCTTTTTTCAAACTTTTATAAACTAGTAGATTTTAATTTCATTATTCAAAAAAGATTTTACAATAATTTTTTATCAACAATATTTACCTTTGATTGCTTTTTTTATTTATTTATGCTTGTCCAATAAATTGCAACATTTTGTGTGCTTCTTTTCAAAGTGTGTACCAAAAATCTTTTCATGATGAAGGCAGATTGTTATAATTTTATCATCTGTTATTCCAGATCTCCAAATAAATTCTTCTCTGGCATCTTCTCTATAGCAATCAAATTTCTTTAAATCAATCTTTCTACAATAACTTAGTTTATGACAAGTATCATTTAATTTTTTTCCAAAATCACATGAATCCATTCTTACTGTAACACTAAAAACATTTTGATATTAGTTTAAAAATGAGAAACCAATAGTAATTAATTCAATGAAAGCAACTTAAGCAATCACCATGGTAATACAAAACTAAATAGTGATTGATTTCTTTTATCTTACTTTGACAAAAAGAAAGTTTCCTTTTCACAAAGTTTAATTATAATCAATTTGTTAATGTTAAAAATGTTAATGATGACTTTAATAGGTAACAAATTTCTTCTATACTAGTGTAATGACAGGATGTTTTTTGTTACTGTAAATAGTTCTTATTTAATAAAATAACTTGCTGTTAACATTTTAGAATTAGCAAATATCAAATAAAATAATGATTTTGAAAAATTGATAAATTTCTTTTTTATTGGTATAATGTTATGACAGAATGTTTTTTTCTGTTGAAAGTTAATTAAACAACTTGCTGTTACCATTTTAGCATTAAAATATATTAATCTTTTTTAAATTAAAATTTTAAATTATACAAAATAAAATTATGGTAAAACCATTATTTTAGACTGTTTTTAATCTTATACATGCAAATCAAAATTCTTATAAACATTAACTTTCTTAAAACATTTTAAGAAAGATCATTGAACATAGAATAATCAAAAACCAAATTGAACAAATATAAATCACAAAAATTTGTGGAAGCAATGTTACCAAAGATATGTTTAACATTGTTAAAAATAAAAATCTAAAAAAAAATTTTGAAGACAATAGTTTCATGTGTTAAAATGTGTTAAAAAAAAAAAAATTTTTTTTTGAGAAAATAAGTGGGGCATGGTCCCTGGTGCCCCAGCCCCATGGACCTTCTAGTCGTCTGACCTGAAACTATTTTAAAGCATGTTCATCAGGATTACACAAATGCTGAAAGTTTCAAAGCTCACGCTTGTCTGGAAGATACTGAAAAATCCATCTCAAGATTCCGGTCAAAAAAGTGGGGCACATTCCCCCTACCCCCCTCCCCTAGTGTCTTGGGCCCTTTTTCAATTTTAAAATGCACATTTATTGACACTACATAAATACCAAAATTTTCATCGTTCCAGCTAGTCTGAAAGGTAGTGAAAAATGTATGGCAAGATTCTGCTACAAAATAGTGGGGCCTGTGCCCCGTTAACCATATATGGAAATCCATATACTTGCAGATCAAAATTTTTATGTTTTCTGAAAGATCATTAAACATAGAATAATGTGTACAATTTTTTTTGTTATATCATCAAGGCCACATGGCTTTCTTGAACATCAAAACCAGGTATATAAAAAATTGCCTAAATTTATTTAAATTGATAATTACAAGTACTTAAAAAATTTTTTTTACATTTCTGATTATTTCATTGGATTCTTCAACCCTGAAAATAGCCAGGTACAAATTTTTAAGTTAAAAGATCAAATATTTTTAAAGCTATGTGACTTGGAACCTTTAAACAAAGGTCACACTTCTGAGGGGACAAGAGGGGCCTGGCCAAGATCAGTTTAAAGTAAAATGATCATATTTCATGATCCTCTTGGAGCTAGAAGCTAAAATTTTCAAGGATTTTTTGTTTTACTAAGTACTCTCAACTGTATAAAAATCAGCAAAATCTGAGATGTATGGTGACATGGCCTGGCTCAATTGACATGGAATTACTCTATAACTAACACTGACTATCAAAAGTTTGAGTCTTAAGTCACAAAAAAGAGTAAACAATTTTTTATGTATTTGTATTAAGTTATTTTCATTTTATTATTCACCTCCGGGTTACTACCAGGAACATGGTAAGGATAGAACTCATAACTTCTCACTATGAAGCAAGCGAAAAAACATATCCTACAGAAACAGCAACAGAACATCTAAATTTTACACTAGATCTTAGTCATAATAAACAAAATATTTATTTAAATCAATACACACAGTGTTAGATGATATACACTCAGTCAGTATATATATATATATATATATATATATATATATATATATATATATATATATATATATATATATATATATATATATATATATATATATATATATATATATATATATATATATATATCGTCATAGTACTATTATTTACTTACTCTCTTATCTTTCTAACCGAAAAACTAATTAATCTTATATTTTAATAAAACTCATGCCACGTTAAAATATATATTTTTTGAATGTTATTATTTTTCTTCAATTTTTATGTGCAGAGTTAAAGTACTAAGTTATCAAGGAGTTTAAAATCAGAACAAGTTGACTTAAATATACATAATCACATTATTTAATGTTAAACTTAAACTTAATAATAGAATATTTGAACGAGTTTACACTAAGAATTGGTAACAAAGGTTTTGCTCAACAGTTTTGAGTTTGATTTCAATATGTTTAACATGATTTAGAGAACAAAACCTGGACAATATATTTTAACGCCCAGCTTTTGAAACAGCAAAAAAATTACAATCACTTTATTAAAATGAATCTAAATCATTTGCTGTTACAAATTATGTAATCCTAATTTATTCAGCCTATAAATATTTTTAAACATTTTAGATTGGTTGCAGCCTTACAAAATTGTGAAAAAACAATATTGAATAATTCTAATGTTTTAAAGTTTTATTTCCGTTACAAAATTTAGTGAATAAAAATGTTTTATATTTATGAGTTTGCCATGATTGCTCTGATTGAATCATTTTAAAATACTTATTTAGTTCTAACTGTTCATTAAATAAGCTTGGGTCTTTAAGGCTTGACCTTGGTGAATGCAGTAAAAAATATTTAAAAAAGATCTTATGTGTAAAACACTTCAATGTGCTTTTTTATATTTTTTAATTTTTTAGGCCAACTCTCACGTGTTGGCGGAAAGTTACCAAAATATGTTATGGACTTAATTCAGAGGTAACTTTTGTATTTCTTCATTTATATTTTTATTTGTTTTATGTATATTCAGAACATTGAAGGCATTATGAGTAAATGCAAAGATTTTGTTAATTATTATTTTAATATTACTTTAAATGAGTATACATATTGCATGTGAATATTTATATAACACATTAGCAAACTAATACAAATGGCTATAAAATGATATCAATAGAAAATTTTGAAGTATTTTTATTATAAAAGTTCATTTCTTAAAAGTTAAAAAATGCTAATTTGAATTATGAAGATTGTCAAAGTTTTTATAAAGTATTTGTATTTATAACACTATAAAGTATGTCAAAAGTATTAAAAATATTATTAACAATATATGAATAAATTGTTATAAGTAACTATATATATATATACATATACATATATATATATATATATATATATATATATATATATATATATATATATATATATATATATATATATATATATATATATATATATATATTTATATAAAAATATATATAAGTTTATATATTTGTGCATACAGATAAACAAATATAAATGTATGATGATATCAAGATCAATTATATTGTGAAAGGCTAATTGTTTGATAAACAGTTTATTAGAAAATGATAATTATTGAAGTTTAATCAGTGATTTTTTCTTTAAGCCTATTCCAATAGTTTTTATATTTTTGAAAGTGATTCTATGTTATATTTTACTAAACTCTCCATAAAAAGTGCTCATTTAGTAAACCCTTTGATATTTGTCGTGATTTTTAATTTTTGACCTTGTTTAATGGCCAGTTAAACATTTAGTTGCACATTTTTCATTATATAATTTGCTTGTCTGAATGCAGCAACATGGGCTTAGGAAATAAATGTTACTTAAACACCTAATCATGTGAATACTGAAAAATTATTGTAATTACATTTATCTTGGTTTTCACATATAGCCATTGATATTAAAAGTATGCTCCATAATGATCACATGTGTATTAACCAATGATATTTTATATAAACTAGTTGTCTTACTTCAATCCAAAAAGTGAAGCCGCTTTTGTCCTTTTTACAAATGGTGGATTGAATTTGTAAACAAATACTATTTAACTATTTTTTTATATATGAAGTAAATATATTTTTATATTTGTAATATATTTTAAATCTATATATGTAATCTATATATTTTTAAAAGTGTTAAGAGGAAATTAGAGTACTTGTAAAGTAATAATTTATGACTTCTAAATTTATTTTTGATTAAAAAGGGATTAAAATTTAAAATAGAAATAAACCCTAAATAAACCTTGATAAGTACTTTGTATTTATTATAACATGTTTTTGAATTATCTTTAATTTATTGGTTAATTTTGACTCGGATTTTGAACTTTTATTCCACACATTTGCTTCAGCTTTTTACAAATGGCAAATTTTATTTTTAAGCAAAAAAAGAAACATTATTTTTTGAAAATAACTTACCAGAAATCTGAACTCAAAGATATTTTATATCTTTTGAGGTTAAAAGCTAGACATATTTTTTTTCCATTATTTCATGATTGTGTGTTTTAAATTAATTTTGTTTATTTATTCAATTAAAATTATTTTGGAGGCAATTTCATAGTTTTGCATTTTATTGAGGTATGGTTTATTCTATTTCAGATAATGTTGCTAAACGATTTACAGTCGATAATCTTTCGAAAGCAGAAAAACTCAGGTTAGCATCAGTTAGAAAGTTAGCGCAATTTCTGGTATTTGTGGTATTTTTATTTGTTTACTCCGAATGTTTTTTATTTAGTTCTTAAAAATGCTTTTAATTGGATTTGTTTGTAACTTTATGTTTCTTCATATATATTTGTCTTTTAGTGTCAAACAAAGAATACACGAATTATTTGAGATATGATTGAAATTTGCAAAGAAAGTAAAAATCAAACTAGTTTCATTCTTAGTTATTGTATATAATTTTAAAATTTTGGAATAGAAGTGAAGCAATATTTATTTATTTTTAGTCTTTTAATTTCCGTATTCAATTATTTGCCCGGATTAATATAATAATCGTGTATAACCTAAATAAATAAGAAGAAATATAGAATGACAGCGCAAAGTTATACAGTGTAAAATTGTCCTTTATTGTTTTTTGCAGTGTAGAAATAACATCAAAAATGATAGAAAAACGTTTGAGGGCGTTTTTCTTACAACGTTTCGCAACATTGTTAATATAACGTTGACCTATGTTTTCATATATGCCATTATTCCAACGTGTAAAAAATGATAGAAAAGACGTTGGCTCAACGTCATTTTAGCTAAAATATAACGTTAGCCTAACGTCCTTATAACGTCTTTTTTCTTCAAATTTAACGTCGCTCTAACGTCTTTTCGACGTCATTTAGCTAAAATGTAACGTTGTCACCACGTCAATTTACGTCGTTGTAATAACGTTAGTAAAAAGACGTTTTTTCGGTGTTTCATTTATAACATCATGCCAACGTCTTTCCAACGATACGAAAGACGTTAGAACAACGTCATTTTTCTTATTGGGGATGCTTTACTTAACAACATAAAATCATAAAAACTGGCGATATTATTAGCAACACAGATGAAATACACATAAACAAAAATGAAGACTAGAATGCTGCAATGATGTTTAGATATAAGAAAGTGTACCTTTCCAGTATCATTTTCATCCCAATAAGAAAAATGACGTTGGTACAACGTTGTTCTAACGTCTTTCGTATTGTTGGAAAGACGTTGACATGATGTTATAAATGAAACACCGAAAAAACGTCATTTTGCTAACGTTATGAAAACGATGTAAAATGACGTTGTGACAACGTTACATTTTAGCTAAATGACGTCGGAAAGACGTTAGAGCAACGTTAAAATTTAAGAATAAAGACGTAGTAAGGACGTTAGGCAAACGTTTTATTTTAGCCAAAATGACGTTGAGCCAATGTCTTTACTATCGTTGTTTAGACGTTGGAAAAATAGCATATATGAAACATAGGTCAACGTTATATTAAAGATATTGCAAGAAAAACGCCCTCCAACATTTTTTTTTTCATTTTTGATGTTATTTCTACGCTTCAAAAAACACAAAAACACAATTATACAATGTATAACTTTGCGCTGTGAAGTTATATTTTTTTCTTATTTTTCTTATTTATTAAGGTCATACACAATTATTAAATTAGGGCAAAAAATTGAATACAGAAATTAAGAGACTAAAAATAAATAAATATTGCAATACTTCTATTCCAAATTTGATAATTATATACAATAACTTAGAATAAAACTAGATTGAGTTTTACTTTCTTTGCAAATTTCGACCATATCTCGAATAATTAGCGTATGCTTTGTTTGACACTAAATGACAAAAATATATGAAGAAACATAAAGTTACAAACAAATCCAGTTAAAAGCATTTTTAAGAAATAAATAAAAAACATTCGAAATGAACAAATAGAAAAATCAGAAATTGTACTGACTTTCTAATTGGTGCTCACCTGAGTTTTTCTGCTTTCGAAAGATTATTCACTGTAAATCGATTAGCAACATTATCTGAAACAGAAAAAACAATACCTCAATAAACTTCAAAATTAATGAAACTGCCCCTCAAATCATTTTTAATTCGATGAATAAACAGAATTAATACACACAATCATGATACAATGGAAAAAAATTTTTTCTAGTTTTACCACTCAAAAGATATGTCTTTGTGTTCAGACCCTTAAAAGATATATTTTTAAGTTTTGATTTATGGAAATTTGTTTTTTTACAAGGGTTATTTTGGCAAAGACAATATATTTTCTTACAACATGAGTTGTATAGTATATAAAGAAACTGAAATGGTACACTTTTACTTAGCAAAGAATCAAAAATCGTTTTTTTAAATAGCTCTCTTTAAGACTAGTGATTACTTTGTCAGGTAATTTTTTTCCAAACCAAACTACTTAAATTTCACTTAAACGATTGACCATTTGAGCAAGTGGCATCTTCTTACCAAAA